AAGAAGAAGGCGCAGGATAAGGAAAATAAAAAATAAAAAATAAAAAAGTAAAAAGTAAAAAGACGGGTTACACCCAAAAATTGATGGGCAATGCCCAATATAATTTAATATTAATTGTGGACACGTGTCTCCATATGATTGGGCCATATACCCAGGTTGGACAAACTTCATCCAACCTGGGTTGGATGCAAGTATTGTCCTTTTTTTTATGGGTATAAGCTACAGAATTGCATTAAAATCTCGTTTAAAAGAATTTATAAAATTGTCCTGAAAGTGTCGTAATTGTGTCCAACTGAGGAGAAAATGGTAAAAACCTGAGGAGACACTGAAATAGTGTTATACACGTGTCCAACCATACCTTTGCCTATCACGTTTCCATTTAGAGGAGCGTTATGCTTTCTAGGTAATGAATAAGATTACAACTTCTAAATTTCTGCTAGTGCTATAAATAAATAAAAATGATAATAATAAATAAAGCTCTAATGCTAGGTTTGGTATATAGGAATGTAATGCTTATTCCAACCATTCCTTTGTTTGGTATGCAATTTAAAGTGGGAATGACCATTCCGTTAGAATGAAAATCCATTTCACAACTAAACCTATAGAATGACCATTCCATTCCCAAGTAATTTTTTTTAAAAAAAATCAACTTCCCAAAAAACCCTCATATTCTAAGTCCAAAAATTGCCATTACCTTCCACCACAACCACCTTCGCCTTTCACCACCGCAACCACTACCACTACCACCGCCTTTCACCACCACCACCGCTACCTCCACCGTTTGCCGCAACCACCACTGCTGCCACCACCACCACCGCCACCATTGCCTTTCACCACCTTCCACTACTGCCGCCACCATCGCCTTTCACCACTGCCACTACCTTCAACCACCATCACCGCCACCACCACTGCCTTTCACCACCACTGCCATTGTCTTTCACCACCACCACTGCCTTTCACCACCACTGCCACTGTCTTTCACCACCACCGCCACCACCACCGCCACTGCCTTCCACCACCTCACCACTGCCCTATACCACCACCATCACCTTCCACCACCACCTTCCACTTCTGCCACCACCTTCTACCGCCACCGCCACCGCCTTCTGCCACCGCCTTCCACTACCACCATCGTTACCCACCTTCCACCACCACCACCACCTTCCACCACCATCGCTGCCGCCACTTTCCACCATTTCCACCACCACCGCTTTCCAACACCACACCTACATCACTACCGCTTTTCACCATCCACCACCGCCACTGCCACCATTTATTTTTAAAAAATTATTAGAGAATGTCATTTGGTAGTTTAATTTATTTGTTACTAAGAGGGATATTTTGAAGAATTCCATTAGAAATTTATTCCATTCTAAATTTTAAATTGGTTCAACCAAACAATAGAATGATTATTATTACTCCATTCCTACACATTTCATATATACAACCAAACAATAGAATGAGAATGGTCATTCCATTCTATTCATATTCTCATTCCATTCCCACTTGCATTTCATTCCATTCCTGCACACCAAATGTAACATAAGAGTAGAATACTCGAAAGATCGACCAATATGACTTGTGATGTTTCTGATTTTTAGCATTTTTTAATTTTCCATAAATTTCATTGCTGTGAGGGCATTTTTGTCTTTTCACATTTTTCGTACAGGATTTTAGTTGAGTCCATTTGCGTTTCATACATTTTGAATTATGTGAGCTATGTATCATTTGTATGATGGTGTGTTACATGTATTCATGTGGTGTAAATTAAAGCAAAGAGAAAAAAAAAAAAAAAAAAAAAAAAAAAAAAAAAAAAAAAGAAAGAAAAGAAAAGAAAAGAAAAAAGAAAAAGAAGAAAGTGGTGGCGGGACCCACCACTATCCCATTCATTTTCTAGAGACCACATTTTTGGTCTCTTATCTCTCTCTCTCGTAAGTTTCCTTCTCTCTCTCTCTCTTGTTCATTGCTTTTTCTTCTCTATTTTGTGTCAAGCTTTGATCTTTGATTCCTCTCTCTCTACTTGGAAGTTTTATGTGCCATTTGAAGCAAAACGGAGAGCACGACGAGCTCTACGCGTGAGTACCAACAATTTCAGCTTTGGGCCTCCATAGGGATTTCGAAATTTGGAACCCATTTTGAGGGTTTTGCACAAGCTTGAGGTAGGGGTCCTTAATCCATGAAATCTTGTGCTTTAGTGAGTTAATTCTTCATAAATGGTTATGAACATGCTTAATTTGTATAGAATCAAGCCAATTGCTTAGTTGATGTGTATATTTGCTAATTGAGTAATTGTGATATTAAATGATCTATGTGAAGAACATATCTATGTGTTGATTCTTTGTATGCCTATCATGCTAGATTTTATTGTATAAAAGTATGTTGAGGTTCATTACAAATTTTTATGAATTGTGCTTTGCTAATTAAATTTTGCGTGATTATAGAATGATGGGCGTAGATATGATATTGCTATATTCATGCATTGACATTGGGCATGAAAATGGGAAGAATTGTTTTGATACGAAAAAGGGGAATTTTGGGGAAAGTGTTTTGATGAAAAGTGTTTTGTGAAAAACCCGGTCGCCGCGGGAGTACCAAAGGGCTGGAGTGTTAATATAGCCTAGAGGGAACTAGGGAGATTACCCTAGCGTGGTTAAGCTAGCTGAGCCCCATAATGACGCCGCGGGGGTACTAAGGGTCAGGGACATTAGCCAATCCTTCTCTCGTGTCGCTGCGGGGTCACCAAAGGGCGAGTTATATTAACAGTTTGAAAGTGACAGTTTGAAAATGAAAATGGGGAGTGATATCTGCATGTATTGCATTCCATTGCACTACATTGTTTACACTTGAGATTGATTAGTATGTTGCAATATCCCGATATGGTATGATCCCCATTCGCATTGCTCTATTCTTTGTATAGATTCACGGGGACACAAGAGGCGTGTCTTAAGTGCCATCTACTGAGCAAATTGCTCACTCCTTCTTATTCAACATTTTTTCAGGACACGGAGAGGAATACAATCCACCCCAACCTTAGTTTGGAGTAGAAAAATGTCTCTTTGCTATTTTTGTATTTGGGCCTAATTTTGTAAAGATGTTGACTTAAAATGTATCACTTTTGCGACATGTAAAATATTTGAATTTATCATTTATATGGCCAGTGGGGTAATGTAATTAAGTTCTTACCAACACCGAATCCTTTAGTGTACTTTGATAACGTGTGGCAAATTACGTTATAACGTGGTCGTTGTCATTGTAATTAGATGTTAAAATGTATTTAGATCTGTACGTGAGTGTAGTGGCGTGGGTGGTTGGTTACCCACGTTGATGTATCTTGATTTTCTTTGGACAGTGAGTGAAGATGACCCAAACCAGTCGACGTGTAGCTTTCCACATGTCGACCGGTATCCTGACAGTAAGCGTTTTATGGTGCACATTCCAAACCAGTCGACGTGTAGCTTCCCACACGTCGACCGGTATCTTGGCAATGGGTTTTCACTGTTCATAACCCAAACCAGTTGACGTGTGAATTTCTACACGTCAATCGGTTCCTGTTCCACATATAATGTTTTTTATTTAGCTTTCCTAATTACTCTCTCGCACCAAATTAATGTTGCGAATAATTATTTTATGACCCAATAAAATGCATTAATTATATTTTAACCATCGAAAAGACTATTTTGTCCCGGACCTTATTTCATTTACTATGTGATACAAGTAAATGACTATTATACCCTTTGAGTCTCAAACTATTTGAATTGTAGCAAATTACTATCTTGCCCTTTTTGGACCTTGATAATTGAATTTAACGTGAAAGGACCGTATTACCCTTGAACGATTCTGGATCGGGTAAGAACCCGTTTAATGATCCGGATCCATGAGGATTTGGGTCGTTACATGACTTTTTTTTCTATGTGAATTTGTTGAATTCCTCCATCAAGGACTTGTTAGACAAATAAAATAGGACTTCTTTAAACAATATATAGCTTTAAATAAAAATCTAATAAAATTAGAAATTTGACACATAAATCCTGACTCTCATGGGACGTTTTAGGCCCACTGAGAATTTTACTTTGAAAGTTGTTGTTTGTGCTTTATCATATCATACATGTGATGAATTCCATTAGGTTTTGGCCGCTCCCAAAAACTCTTCCTTTCAAAGGTAGTGGCTAAAAAAAAAAGTAGACTGTATCACAATAATAGATAAGGAAAAAAAGAAAAAATAAAAAGTGCTTCTTGAATGGTCGTGTTTGTGTCGCTTACGGAATTTGGATGCAGTGCATCTTGACTAGTCCAAGACATGGCAACATCTCTTCGGCTATTAGTTTAGAAAATTCTTGTGTTAATAATGTTTGTATTGACTCTTGAATGGTCGTGTTTGTGATTCATAACATGACAACATGTTCAGGCAATACATATTTTACATCAAAACCTGGTAGCCAAGTCTTAGAGAGCTTTGACCTTCGACTTGGTATACCTCCTTGTGTTGAAAAAGTTTGTCTTGATATATTCTTGAATATTCAGTGTTTGTAATTAGGCTTGAACTTTCACGTTTATAGTACTTTGTTAAAACTAAATGATAATTTTTTTTTTTTGTTTTCATGAGTCAGAAAATTATTTGAGGGGCAGCCTTTGAACATCAGATTAAAAAAAAAAAAAGAACTTCAAACGTCTATAATAAACAAGAGTACTTTAACATCTATTTATATTTTAAACAAGAATTGGTTGTGCCAGTTTTTTTTAGAAGTTTTGAAATTTTATTATTCATGTTATGTTTGAAGTACCATAAGTTTTGAATGGTCGTGTTTGTGATTCATAACATAGCCCAATTTACTGAGACAGGAAATGTTCACGGTTGATCTCACTTTGATTCCTAATTTCCTATGGATGTCACACCAATATTATCTCTCATAAACATGATAACATGACAAATCTAAAAACTTAAGATACAACACCGTTATTTGTATATTTGCAACAACACTATTATTAGTAACAAAAAAAAGTAAAAAATATGTCACATTTGTACCATAAACATACTTTATTTTACATGACAAATACTGGACTAAGTTACAAATGCCACCAACAAAGAAAAAGTTACTCCATATAAATAAATAAATAAATTGAACAAACAAAAGCATGATCATTTATTCAAATAACACCGTTTTCATTTTCATGAATAGAGTTCACTGCTACTGATGACCATCTCCAAGTCCATCCACAAAAGCCTTGAGATTCATATCCAATGATCCACCATCCTTCATAGCTTCCCGTGCCTTTTCCTTCCATTTCTTCGCGTTTCCTCTCATTTCTCTTCCCCTCTCTCCTCCTCCCATCACCATTTCTATACACCTCCTAATCTCCTCCCTCTCCAATATTCCTTCTTCATTCGGCACAACTCTCACCCCCATCTTCCAAACATCTTCGATAAGCTTTGCGATCGTCATTTGATCCGTAAAGTGTGGAAACCCCACCATTGGAACTCCGGAAACCAAACTCTCCAACGAAGAATTCCAACCACAGTGAGTGAAAAAACATCCCAATGATGGGTGTGATAGAACCTCCGATTGAGAACACCATGGCACTATCAATCCTTCTTGTCTCAATTCTTCTAAGCAACTCAATTTATCTTCTTCTCTCTCGCCATTTCCTTTTTCCCTCACCACCCACATAAATGGTCTATGGCTTTCCAACAAACCGCGTGCAATCTCCTCCATTTGTTGCTTCGAAAACATGACTATGCTTCCAAATGCTACGTAAACAACAGATGATTTGGGCTTCGAATTCAACCACTCAACATAACCATGTGATTGTTGAAAGAGGTCTCCTCTAAAGGAAGCATCAGAGGGGATTATTAAAGGTCCTATTGGGATCAAATTGTGCTTTTCCGTAGCTCTTAAGGCCTCCAGCTCTATTGCATTGAATGTGTTCACCAGTATTTTTGGGTTGGTTTCGGCACTAAGCAAGTCTAGCTGCTCTTTAAATTCTGGAACTGCCCAACTGAATTTGTCGGAGTGTGGAGGGACCAGAAAGGAGGGAAGATCCCGGCTAGCAAGCAATGGCAAACCCGGTAACTGAATAGTGCTTGAAGGGTCATTGCCATTTTTTCTAATGGCATCACCATAGCCATTGAAGTAATAGTAGTAGATATCGAAAACCGTGGCTGGTTGAACCCATAGAACTGCGGATGGGATGTGATGGGCAAGAGCAACTTCAGCAGCCCACGGTTGATTCATATTGTAGACTAAACAAGTTATTGGGTAGCCTTCTTCCTCACTAGCCTTGATGAGTTCTGCCATGGCTTTGGAACCGCGAATTCTGAGCTCAGACCGGAAATGGTCGTGGTTATCGTCCAAACTAATCCCATCATCATAGCCATCGGAGAAGGCAGATAAGGATAAGCCTTTTGGGATTGTGCTGTTGGTTTTGGTAATGCGACGGTGAGCGGAGAGACTTGTGATAATGGTGACCTTAACACCCATTCGTATGAGGTTCTTGGCAAATTGGATTGACGGATTGATGGCACCTTGTGACGGAAAAGTTAGAAGGAGAATGTGGCAATCCACCATAGTGAAGGAAAGAGATATAATGGGATTATTACTCAAACGAAAAAGGTTGTGTTTGTGTTTCTTGGCGAATTAGGAAAAGCTGTATGGAAATGGTGGGATGGGCAATGCAAAAATAAAAATTGAGTTTCTGAGTAATAAGTGAAGAGAAAGCTGGCTGTGTTTGGAAATGGTGTGGGATGTGGTGGTTTATATATATATGTAAGAATAGGATCTGGACCTGCGAGAAGAAAAAAATATATATAAGTGCTTCTTGAATATTCGTCTCTGTGATGCAAAACATGGCAACATTTTGAGGTAATGCATCAAACTTGGTCGCCAAGTCCTAGGTAGCTTTGACCCTGACTTGGCATATTTACCTTGTTTGATAAGATTATGGCTAGGCTTGTATCTTTTGCTAAGTAAGTCCCAAAATACATGTTTTATTTAGGGAATTTAACTTTTTATGATAGCATTTTTTAATTGTATTGATAAGAGTGAAATTTTAAATATGTTCTTATAAGATAAAATAGTGTTCCTAATTGGTGCACTTTTTTAGTTAAAAGGATAGTTTAAAAGTGTTATAAAAAATAATACACAAATTTTAGAATATGACATGTCTTTTGGGATATTCCAAAATAAGAAATAAAAAATAGACAAGTATTTTGGGACGCATGAAGTAGCAAAGTAAACCCAATATTAAGAGTCTCAAAAGGCGAATCAATCATAAACTTTATTGTCATAAGTTCAATTCTTACTAGGCACAAAATGATCTTTGATGTCATTAGTTCAACTTTTACTAGGCACAAAATTACCTGAATTTAGTAAATAAGTGTAATTTGTGAATGATTGCACATATTAGTTTTACCTTACTTCCAGTGGCCGAAAGAATTTCTAGTTTCTAAACATAATAATAATAATTTAAAAAAAAAAAAAAAAACACACACAGATAAAGTGCTATGAGAGATTTTTTTTTTTACACAATTATTATATGGTTTCAGTAGACGGGTCAATCAATACTCTCACATCAACAAATATATCATGGTCCAAGTTTTATTCAATTTTTTATTAACATATCAAGTTATAGTTGATCGGGAATTCGGGACCCATGTAATACTTCCTCCAAGTATTAGAATTTTAAATAAGTTTTGTGGTCCAAAAATCACCACTCTCTTTATCCTCTTTTAAGTTTTTTATACCAACTTCTCTTTCTTTTGGTGCACTACTGTTAACCCTCGACTTGGTATACCTTGTTTGGTATAATTACTACTACTTTTTATGTAAGATCGTTTTATTAGATTTTAGTTATTTTTATTTTTATTTTTATTATTGCTACGTCATATCTTGTGTAGAACATGTAGTCTGAAGTGACTTTGGTATATGAATGCAGTACGTTGACAAGTCCCACCATGTCAACATTTTCAGTTATTAGTTTGTGTGTGGATGCATGACATGACAACATTTCGAGGTAAACTTCAAAACTTGGTAGCCGCCAACTCCTAGAGAACTTTGACCCTCAACTTGGTAGCCGCCAAATCTTAATTTTGTTGTGGATGCCAAATCAAATCAAAGAACCATACAAAGACCTATATTCATAAAAATTTCCAATTTTGTTAACACAGTTAATTCAAACAATCCTTAGGTAGTAATGAGATCGTGGTGACAAGACCAGCATATTGGCGGAACAAGTGAACAACCATAGTTGTTATGGCCGAAGTCTATGGAGGTTTGGGCTCTCAAGTAACATGGTTGATGCAGTCCATGTGCTTTCCATCTTTCTTTTTGAAAGCATTGATACATGTCCCGAATAAATTTTGACTTGTATATCTGGAATCTATGTGACGGTTGACACGGTGCTTAATTAATAAAAAAAATACACATCATTGTCTAAAACTCTAAAACCCTAATTATTTCACATTAGAGAGCCATTCTCCATTGTCTTCGTTTCCGGGTTATGAAATCAATTTCTTGTTTGCTGCAACAGCTCCAACGATTACATTTAGTTTTTCACATTCTTAGATGACTCGGACAACCGTACTACTTTCATAACTTTCATATAAGAGAAAAAATATCATGTATCTTTACTTTTAGTACAGGTTTTTATGATATAGTTGTATACGTAGGGGATACAATATATATATATGTAGACATTAAAATTTTAGTGGGCTTTAATTTTGACAAATGGACCCATTAAATATAGGCCTAATGTTTAATTAAGTTATTTAATTGGACCAGACTTGGTCCACTTAAATTATTTAATTAGCCCAGCTCAGATGATTAAATGGAAAGATAATTATTCCTAATAAAATATATTTGGAATAATTATTTTTAAGGATAATTATCATAATATAACCGGCCCGGCCCAGTTATGATATTTTCCTTATCAGAAAGGACACGTGTCATCATCCTATGGATCCAAGAAACTTATAAATAAAGGCCTGGAGGAAGGGAGAAGGAGGACAGAAATCCAGAGTCCAGAAATCCAAAAATTCAGAAATTCAAGGGACACAAATTCAGAGTCTAGAAATCCAGAGACTCAGAAATCCAGAAGGTCCTGAGGGCAAACCTGAAAGTGAAGAACATCAAGTACATCCAAAGTCGTGACGTTCTTCACCAAATTCAACAAATCCTATCTGAAGATGAAGAACAACAAGCACATCCAAAGACGTGCCGTTCTTCCTCAAATTCAACAAAAGACAGAAATTCAGGCACAAATTCAGAATTCAGAAGTCCAGAAATCCAGAGACTCAGAAGACACAAATTCAGAATCCAAACCCAAAAGCGAAGAACATCAAGCACATCCAACGACATATCGTTCTTCATCAAATTCCACGGTAATCAACAACAAGCACATCCAATGACGTGCTGTTCTTCATCAAATTCCACGGTAATTCAAGAATAAGCTCGTGCAGCCCTTGGATCCAACCAACTAAAGGAGATCGAATTAGAGGACTGTCTTATTTGTAAAGAATATTATTACAGAGGATTGTACTCAAATTTTTTAAATTAATAAGTTACAATTTGCTCCATATTTTGTTTTATTTACATACTTACAAAATTTGTGTGTACAAATTTCTGGCACGCTCGGTAAGACATCCTCTGCCTCTCATCTCTTTCTCCTACATCAAATTCTCAACAAATTCATCGTCAGATTCTATGACTTCCAATAAGATTTAGACAAATAGCAAAAATACCACTAAAGACTTCGCGGTCATTACAGACAACATCAATACCATCACAAAAGGTGGCAAGAAAGTTGCAACTTCGTCAAGTGGTACAAACACCTCTGCAATGATGTGGAGCATGGTCAAATCATCCATTCCTGCCAAAAGACAACACGATGCGATGGGAGTCAATTCTGCCAAATCTGTCAAAGTAACAACTCAAACTCATACCATCTTCACCTCGCTGGGGGCAAGAAGGAAGGTTTCTACAACCTCAAAGGTTGCTCCAATCACAAGTTCAAGTTCCACCTCACTAGGGGAAAGGAGAAAGGTTCCTACAACCTTAAAGGTTGCTCCAGTCACAAGTTCAAGTTCCACCCCGTTGGGGGCAAGGAAGAAGGTTCCTACAACCTCAAAGGTTACTCCAGTCACAAGTTCGAGTACAAGGATGGTCCACCCAAGGTCAAAGATTTTTTCTAACTCCATCACTGTGCCAATCATGATGACGAGTACTACCTCGTACGAAGAGCAATTGAGGACTATGGCCCATGCAATTGAAAGATTACAACACTCTCTCAAAGAGCAAGATCTGAAAATTGCCTTACTGACAGAAAAGTTAAAATTATGTGACGACAATACTGAGTCAAGCAAAGGCCGAATTCCTCATCTAATTCCATGCCAGAGGACACTCCAATTGATGATCAAAATGACGTGTCTGCCAATCCAATAATTAATATTGCCTCCTCTGTTACCTTACTTTCTGTCCAACAACTTCAAGTCATGATAGTGAATCGCATAAGAGAACAATACAGTAGCGTTTCTCAAAGTGCTCGCATGTACTCAAAGTCTTACACAGAAAAAATTGGCATCTTAAAAATGCCGGTTGGGTATCAACCTCCAAAACTTCAACAGTTTAACGGAAAAGGCAATCCCAAGTAACCTGTTACACACTTTGTAGAGACTTGCGGTAATGCTGATACCGACGAAGATCTCCTTGTTAAGCAATTTGTTCGTTCCTTCAAAGGGAATGCATTTGATTGGTACACAAACCTCAAAGTTGGAGGTATTGACAGTTGGGAGCAGATGGAACGAGAATTTCTCAACCGTTTCTATAGCACTCGTCATACTGTAAGTATGGTAGAGCTTACAAACACAAAATAGATGAAGGGTGAACCCATGGTTAACTACATCAACCGTTGGCGAGCACTAAGTCTTGACTGCAAGGATCGTTTATCTGAAATTTTTGCAGTTAAAGCATGTATGCAAGGCATGCGCTGGGAGCTTCTTTACATCCTACAAGAGATTAAGTCTCGCACATTTGAAGAGCTTGTTACTCGAACCCACGACATGAAGCTTAGCATGGAAAATTATGGTGCTAGGAAAGATGTTCTAGATATACCCGACAATCTTCAAGAAGATGAAGAAAGTGAATCAGAAGAAGAAGACAAAATACTTCTTAACTCGGACGACGAAATAGCTTCATCTTTCATTATAAACATCATCTCGAAAGACTTGCATCAAGAAACAATGACTTCAACCGAAAGTGCAAAATCATAGGGGGCATTAAGTCAAGGAAACCAAGAAGAAAATCCTCAAAGTGATGACGAGATAGTCCATACCCTTCAGCATAAGTTTGGATTGCCGTCTGATTCTTACAAAGTTGGAGAATAATAAAAATTGATGATGCTTCCAGATACGAGCCTAAACTGTCAATGATGCACCCAGATACGAGCCTAAACTGTCGACGATGCTCCAAAATACGAGCCTAAACTGTCAAGGATGCTCCCAGATACGAGCCTAAACTGTCGATGATGCTCCCAGATACGAGTCTAAACTATCGATGATACTCCCCGACACGAGAATAAACTGTCAACTGGAAAAAAAATGACACTCCTTGACACGAGTTTAAACTGTCTACCTAAAAAAAAATCAAGAACTCCTTGATACGAGTTTAAACTGTCTCCTAAAAAATAAAAAAAATTAAAAATTAAAAAATTAAAAAAAAAATGACACTCCTTGACACGAGTTTAAACTGTCTACCTAAAAAAAATTAAGAA